AAATATTTTTAGCTTCCGCCGCCCCTGTATCTTTAATATTTTTGATATCTGTAGTAAGACTGTTGCATGCAGCGAGGAATATCTGAGCTTCCAGATACTCTAGTATTTCTGTCATGAATAGCAGAACGCTTAACAAAACTCTTAGATAAATACTCTGGAGCTAAACCATTCATACAATTAAAACTGAGCTCAGAGTAAATCGTTAAATAATTAAATTGCGATTCTCTGCCTACAGAAACATTTCTCGCATCTGATGCGGGAAACTGGAACAAAAAAATCCGCGAGATTCGAGATAACAGCCCCCTCCTCATCAAGAGCCTGGGCTAACCTGTCTTACTCTTAACTTTCTCAAGTGTTTTTTAAAATAAGCAGAAAATAGAGATGGAATCGCGTCTTACTTGACCATCATGAAATTTTTCTTTTATTTTCGTGTTGCTTTGAAATAAATCACGAATGAATCGATAAAGGCTCACTTTTGGAAGCAAGGTGGCAAGCAATTCGATATTGAACGATATCGATGTCTGATCTGAGTTAACCGCGTTAGTTCGCCGAAAGGAATTATGGATCAACTATTTTTGGTTAGCATTTTCTGAACGAGGACTTAAAGCAATGCATAGATTTTTTTGTCGATGGAAATGGAATTCCGCAATGAGTTTGACTAGTTTTACAATCAAATTAATGAATAATTCGTATTTCACATGGGTTCTCTTGGCGAATCATGAGAAATGCTAGTCCAARTTATACAATATTGAATCCTCAATTCTGATTGGTTGACCTTGATTTCGTTCTGAAGTTCAACTCAGCTGGTAACTATGATTGAACATATCTTCCGATTGTCCTTTTTCTCACTCAGTAAAAACACCGCTTGAAAGTCTTTGTCGTTTGCACACCGACGAGCAAWATACGGTATGGAAAGTAGATCTACGTTGAAAACTGGTCAGCTATTTAAAGCGTTGCTCTTGAACATCATTTTATCGATTTTGCTAGCACTACCATTCAAGGTAAGGGTAATTTTGTATTCTTCCTTCTTTTCTATACCTTTATAACATTGTTTATAATTAATATTGATATTGTAAAGGGCTGTTGACACTGAACTGAATCACCACTACCATCATTTATTATTATTATTATTATCTTCGTTTATTTAAACTTTCAGTATGCGTAATACTTTACAAGAATAAAGCGGAACTTTTATAGTTCTAGGCTATATCCTTAGTGTGTCACTAACAAATGTCTATTCAAAGGTGTAGAATGCCTTAACTATTTCGCAGTTTTGCGATATCACCCATTTTTGGCATTGTTTTATCAAGTTTTGTCCATCATCTATGCCTACACTTTCCATATCATGTACAAGTTGTTTCTTATGACCCGCTAGAAAATCTAGGACAATGTTTACTTGGATTACTTTATAATCGGGATATAGGCTCTTTAGACCTNGTTCCACCTTAAGTTTTAATAATCCATCTTCTTAAAATCTGGAATCAGTTCCCGAAATTTGACCACATGCAATGAGCGTCTTTGAGTGCAATCTGGGGTTTTTTTTGTTTTTTGTTTTTTGTTTTTTGTTTTCCAAAACGAGTAATTTAGAGCATCGCAATCCTTTGGTTAATTTTTTTTTAAAATTTGGTTTGGTTTAATTAACTGGGCTCTAAGTGTTGGTCATTTTCGAACTAACAATCTAATAGTCTAGCGCAATCCCTCGTTAAATCAGGTTAAACACTGGGCTAAATAAAATATTTTTGTCGGGAGCAATTTCCCGAAGCTCCAGGATATTTGATTATTTCGTGGTTTGAATGTCTTTCAGTTGGACCCACACAAAACATCTTTCTCTTTGATTACAAATTTCAAAGATATTTTCATTGTGGTTTGTTTTCCTGACTAGAATTAACTTGAGTAAGAAAATCCCATGTCGAAGTCATTTGTGGTGGGTTAACTCATTATTAAATATAATCGCGGTCCACATATTCTCATATTAAAGTTAATCACTCATTTACAGATGTGTCCGAGTAATTGACAGTCATACCTTTAATATAAGAATCCGTTAGCATCTGGCTATTTGGCATATTTTTTGTCACGAAAGAAGATTCAAAAAAATTAAACTCAAAATTAAAATTCCTCTTATTTCTAATTAAGGAAGAGATTGGTTAGATGGTCGTTTAAGGAAGAAAATTCAAGCAAAGTAAATAAGACAGATAAGCCGGCAGCTTACGCGCCCTCAAATTGCTTGCTTTTGTGCTACAACGCAATAAGATCTCTGCTTTCATCTATACAGAGACCTATACATCTCATAGATGGTCGTTTAAGAGGAAGAAAAATTCAAACAACGCCGTAAACAAGAGAGAGAAGCCGGTGCTCACTTTTGTGCTGCAACGCAATAAGATTCACATGAAAAATACTCCTCCGGTTTTTATCTATATAAAGATCTATAAATGTCATAGATKGTCGTTTAAGGAAGAAAAATTCAAACAACGTAAAGCAAGAGAGAGATGCCTGCAATTTACGCGCCCTCAAATTGCTTGAGGTACGGCAAGAGCTCAGTTACATCACGGGAAATGGTCTATACGTACTAAAGATTGTTGACATGCTCAAATCTATGCGTGATGGCATTAAATCGTGAAATAACGAAAACAATACGGTATCAAAACAGTTTTAAGACTTAATTGATAATATATTACCACACAAACCAGATCAAATAGAGTATTAAAATATTGTTAATAATGAATTAAAACAAATTAAATTGTATAAATCTGAGACCAGCTTGCTGGGGTTTTGAATATAATGTCTTTTTAAACCCCAAAAAATCCTGTGGGCTGAAAAACAGCTTTGACATTCGATCTTATTGAACCCATCTCACAAAACCACCACACCCAAGCATCCTGCGATATTGAATACGTACGCTTGTGGCGTGGCATTAAAATATCATTGTCTTAAATTACAAATCTGTYATCAGCTTTCGTATACCACGCTGTAACTAATCTCAACGGAGTAGTATAAATACTGACCTCGTATTCAGTTAGGCATTGACGACTGAGTTCGACCTTCATCATCAAAAGAGTAGCAGTGTGGAAGAATTCTGCAGAAAAGAAAGACAATGAAGCTTTTAATCCTTGCACTCTGCTTCTGTTTAGCAGTAGGTATGTATCATTACTTATTATTTTAGCTCTTTTTTGATAGTTATTTAGTGTTCGTCTGTCATTTTAAAAGTCAAGATAAATCCGTTAAATCAGGGGCAGCGAAAGCCGAAAATCTTTGAGGGGCACTGCAAAAAATCTTTGGGGGTGGGGGGAGGGTACTTGAAAAAATCACAACAATAAACTTAATAACAGTATTAAAAATCGAATCTATGCATTTATGTTTCATGTGAACCAAAAAAATTCGTGCCGTCCCCGGTTCTGCTGCCCCTGTAAATCTTCAAGTATATATTTGTCCTCGTAGTATTTTGAACTGGGCCATTAAATTAGATAGTTTTAAGCGAACAGTCTTTTAGATTAAACTGTTTCGCTGGAGCAAATTTTGTTGAATTTTCTATTGGATTTGGCGATTCTATCCCCCACAAAAGCAAGCAGTGACGTCATAGTGAATAGGGCAATTTCCTAAATCGTTGTTGAACTTCGAATAACATCACGAGTAATATGAGATAGTCTAACTTGATGTTTTCATGAGCCGGATCATATTCAATTCGTTAAATATTCCCGTAATATGTATAATAATTCAGAAGCAGAGTTCTGTTGTCTCCTGTACATCGCAGTGTYGTTTCTATAGCAACGGAATGTATGGGTCGGGGTCTGGGGCCTGGGTAATGGGCCTACGTAAGAGCTGAAATCTTGCCTTGGGGAAATACTATAGCCGGCTGTAATTTAAATTTCATTATTAGCATTTTTTAATCAATTTKTTTTCCTTTCATTTCACTATTTTTAGCTGAGAATTCCAATAGCATTGAAGATCTAGAAAAAATTCTTTCATCCGACTCTCAACTCCCAGACATCGGCAATCTTGAAAACGTGGACAAGCTCGAAGCTCTGATGCAGAATAAATTGAAACTTAAAGGAAAGTTTGAAGGTTATATTCACTGTTTTGAGAGATTGTAGTGAGCGYGCACATCATCGCGCACATCATCGTCGTTGCGTAGAGTCGTATGCAGGAGCTTCATTTTATTGTGGACAGCCACCTTAATAAATTCCCTACTAACATTAAATACAATACAATACAATAAAACTTTATCTAACACGTGGCCCTCAAATAATTTAATAGTTGTTTGATTAATTCGAGTCGTAACTTTTAAATTGAATTTGATTGCTTCTACAGGTTATAAATACTGTATGGACGGAAAGACATTAGCTGAAGGTCCAGGAATGGAAGGATGYCCAAGTAAGCGCGGTACCCCCAAACCCCTTGGGATGACCGCCCATCCCCTMCCCTGTTGCAAAACACTTAACAGCCTCTATTCCACACCCTACTCTCATCCCCCTGGGRGGAATACTAGATGTTCATTTAAAAATAGAGTACCCAGTTTTTAGCGCCAAGTTAATTTCTATTTTTGTCATAACCATTTTTTGCCGTACCAGACCTTCAACCAATAGACTCTTTTCAAGTTCCAAATTACCGCTGTKTTTCTTGATTACAGACTCATTTACTAAGGCTTAGCCTCGATTTTGTTTAGACGTGTTCCAGTCAAGGTCCATCAAGTTTCAAAGTGTTCGTATTGTTGAAGKTKTGCCTTCKTTACTTTACCGTTGGTATTTGTGAATATAATTAGACACTGATTCGAGGCTACTGAGTAAATGAGTCTGTAATCAARAAAYRCAGTGGTAATTYGGAACTCGAAACTGGACTATTTCTAATGTTTTATGATTTCGTCTCTTTTGTCCAGAACGTCTGTGCTACGATAAGAAAACTCTTCAATGCAGAAAAGAATTAGGAAAGTTGAGCGCGAAAGAAAGGTTTCATCTCTGTCACACAGAGTATATTACTTATAGGGAACGTTGTCCTTACACTTGTGGCTTATGCAGTAAGTAATTCTACTTCTTTGTGACCTCGCACACCGATCGATCCATTCCCAAACATTGTAAGATYATTTCAACTATATTCTACATCTTCGTTTGTTTTTAATATTTTTTCCAGAACCACGTAATCCAGTTCAGGAGTGCAGGAAAATACACGGAGCTACTGCTCGTTGTTGTTCGAATGGAAAGCCAGCTTTAAAACCAGACAAAAGTGACTGTGAGGGTAAGTCTAGAGAGAACCACTATTTCAATAAGGGTTGGTTGAGATGCGATAGCCAAAAGCTCATTCCTAGACTGGATGGAATTATAGGTATATAATATCTAAACAAAGTCCACTACAACTGAGCAACTCTTTGGATCTTTGTGCTCTTGATGGGAATATTTAAAAGAAACACAAGYCATTGCAGCTATTCTTGACTATTTTTGGACCTGAAATGGGTTATTTCTTATTGTTTATCTCCTCGTATTTCAGCTACCTTTTTTTTGAAATAGTAGTAAACTTGTATGAGAGCCGTTTTACAGTAATTTTTCATAAACCCGTTTTTAATTCTACGGAAATAATTCATCAYATTAAAGAAATCTTTTATTGATTTTCAGTTTGTAGTAACAACAACCCCAGTCTATGTGAAAGGTTTTACAAATTTCTTGGAGGAAAATGTGAGACCAGCGCGTACCTTGTTCGACGCTACTTGTACACCAATTGCCCTAAACGATGTGGTAGATGCCAATGTAAGTTAAGTACTTTCAAGTACAGTTATTATATAATAGGTTTTCTAGTTTGAATATTGAATACAGAATACAGAATGTTGTTCATGTGGAGAAAATTACTGATAGGTTTAGAACATGGAGCATGAAAATGCTTTTTCTCGCTTTCTGATTGGCTCTCAGCCACGCGCGCTTTTACAACTCATTGAAAAAAGTGCTGAAAAATATTTTTTTCATTGACAATTTGTTGTTGTTTAATAGAAGCAAATCAAAAGACTTGTAAAGTAATTTATTGACTTTTTCTATTCCAGGAAATGTTGATTGACCATCCTTTGATTGCACCAAACGTTATATAAAACAGAATCTTTTAAAAACAATAATAATTATGGCTAAAGAAGTGTCGCCTATTGGAAAGCTCGTTGCTGTTTGATGCAAATTTACAATCTTTGCCAAAAAAAWTTCTTTCATTGGAGCAAAAGAAAATGAAAAATGATGCTATCTAGTGATACAGTGAATGTAATAGSTAAATTGTGCAGCCTATTTGTTAGAAATGTTAAAGAAATACAGATAAATAAATTATGTTGAAGCGAGTAGTCTTATTCAGTTATTCGAATGCTTTGCCTTCTGTCGCCAACGATGTGGGTTTGAACACCGTATTTGCACTTTAAACCCAGAAAATCCCGATAAAAGCGTGAACACTTAAATTATGAATGATACTACACACATACAAGAGAAARTAAAGACTATAAACTTACCAAATTAACGATACGAGACTGACAGACAGATGTAGGCAAGCTCCACATCTCACTGCACGCGTTCACATACATAGYTCGCACAGCAACATGGGAACATTTTAGAAAAACAAACAAATTAATATATGCAAATAAAAAAATAACGCGCACCCAAAAGGTTAGCATGAACTTGACGGACAACAAGATTAAAGGTTACAATCATTTAGTAAACCTTTAAAAAAAATTTTTTTTCTATCTTTCTTTCTTCCCTTCTTTCTTTCTTTCTTTCTTTCTTT